GGCGAGACCCGCTGCGGCCCCCGCCGATGTGCAGAAAGCAACAGCAACCTCCAGCCCTTGCTAAGTGCGTTCCTTCTCAATCCCGTATCTGTGTGACTGCGAGGGGCGAGCACAGCACGTGGGCAGCCCAGCTCAGAGCTCTGCTTTCATCCAGCCCCATCCTGCCTTACATCCTGGAAAAGGCCAAGCTGCTGAGGAAGCAGCGTTTGCCCAGCGTTCGTCAGGCCAATTCGGTGCTGGGGACAAGAGCCCTGGTGCCACTGCAGGCCTCCAGCAGCCACCTGGGCTGGAGCCCTTGTCCTGTCGTGCACCTGCAAATTTTATGCAGGTGTTGAGCACATGGCAAAGCTCTCTCTTCTTCCTTGGTGTTGCAAGACCAAACGGATGGGACAGGACTACTGGGACACTTCTTTCCTCTTCGCACACATAGGCAGGAGAGGACATCTGCAGGACCCTGCCTCAGGAGCAGCTGCCCACGGAGGCAGCTCGTCCCTCTCGGAAGACTCCAAACAATAGTGACTCCACCAGGAGTTTTTTCCACGTTCTGCTGTGAATTCGCATCTTATTTCAAGGTTGAAAATGTGTTTAATTTTCAGCTCCAGCCACTGGATCTCATTTTATCTTTGTCAGCCAGATGGGACTGCGTTTCTTTTCCCTTTGGTTTCTTTGCCAAGTGTAAATGCCTCCTGCAGTGTCGGGTTCCCACGCAGCCCTCCTCCTGACGCACGGAACAGGAAACAACCCTTACAGATCAGATCAGTGGAATGGCCTTCTGGTCTTTGGTCATTTGGGAGCCTCTTGTCTGAACTCTTGTGCCAAATCACTGTGTTGTTCAGGAGGGTGAACTTCAGAGCTGGCTGTAGTGTCTAGGTAAGGCTCTAAGAGCCGCGCCCAGGACCAAGGTCCCTTCTGTATCTCTGTGTGATATTTTTGTACATCAAGGGACCGTGTTATCCTTTGGGCTCAGCATCACACTGAGAACTCACAGCAATTCAGTTTCTGTGGTGATCCCCAAGTTTTTCTTGGAGATGGGGCCTCCCGTGCACTTACCTCATGCATTTTCCCCACCTTGGCTGTCTGACCTGCAGCCAGGAGCTTCATACAGCCTCCTCCAGCTCCCTGGGTCTGCCGCCCTGCCTGGGCACCGCAGCATCAGAGCCGCCTTACGGTGGTGCCCAGCCTGGCGCGCAGTGCCCACGGTGCTCACTGGCTGCCACTTGCTGTTACAGGCTTGTCAGCACCGGTGCCCAGAGGCAGGAAAGGGAAGAAGACAAAGAACCAGATGCTGCTTCCTGAGATAAAGAATGCGGACTGGCTTGCCACCTGCAACCCTGAGGTCGTCCTGCATGACGACAGCTACAAGAAGCACCTCAAACAGCACTGCAACAAGTGAGTGCAGGAGCCTGTGCCAGCTCGTGGAGACCGTGGGCTGAGGGTCTTTAGCGTGGGGAGCGTGGGAGGGAGCTGTGAGGGGCTCACAGCCCACACAGGATCACCGTGCTCTGGCTGCCGGACTGCCCTCGGATGCTCCTCCAGCTAATGGGAGCCGTGTCCTGAGCAGCAAACTTCCAGCCGCGGGGCCCCAGGAGGTCTCAGGGCTGGGCGCTGTGCCGCTTTGAGAAAGTGGGTCCTCCCATGTGGGGAAACATGGTGCCAAGCAGGTTTCCCTGGCCTTGCTGACCCTCAGAGCATCCCTCTGCAAACGCTCTGGCGAGGGCCGTTGGGCCAGGCCCTAGGCTGCATTTGAGCACCTGTGTGCTAGCATGTGTTCCTCTCTGCTGCCCCGGGACAGTCAGGGCTGGGCGCTGTGCCGCTTTGAGAAAGTGGGTCCTCCCATGTGGGGAAACATGGTGCCAAGCAGGTTTCCCTGGCCTTGCTGACCCTCAGAGCATCCCTCTGCAAACGCTCTGGCGAGGGCCGTTGGGCCAGGCCCTAGGCTGCATTTGAGCACCTGTGTGCTAGCATGTGTTCCTCTCTGCTGCCCCGGGACAGGGTTCTGCTGCGGGTGCGAATGCTCTACTACCTGAAGGCTGAAGTGCTAGGGGAGGCCGCGGACAAAGCCTTCGAGGGGACCCCCGCCAGGTAGGGACCTTATGGCAAACCCTTGTGATGCTTCTCGGGAAGGTAGTGGCGGTGGCGCTCCAGCACAG